CCATCCATCTATCATCTACCCATCCATCCATCTACCCATCCACCCATACACCCATACACCCATCCATCTATCATCTACCCATCCACTCATCCATCCACCCATCCATCCATCATCTACCCATCCACCCATCCACCCATCCATCCACCCATCCACCCATCCACCCATCCATCCACCCATCCATCCATCTATCATCTACCCATCCACCCACCCACCCACCCACCCATCCACCCATCCACCCATCCACCCATCCACCCATCCATCCATCCATCCATCCTTCTATCTAATGCTTTGTGACCCTGGATCTTCAAGCCTGGGTTTCATCACATTACCTAATAGTGTATCAGAATTCCCTGGGGACTTTTAGTGTGAAAGCTCGCAGCTGGGATGGGGTTCACACTTCCCCAGGGTGGTTCTGATAGGCCCAGACAGGGAATATCTCCAGCTTAGACAGTTGGAAATTGTGTCTTAGCTCAATCCCCAGAGGGGTCTTGGTGAGCTTGAAGAGGGGAGAAGAGGAGCAGGAACATAGCCCACTAGTTTTCTGGAAGCCAGGTACCAGGAGGGAGGGAGGCTGAATCCTCTGTATGACAGCCATGCCCTCGACCTACCTTCCCCAGAAAGTGATGGAGGTGGCAAGGACAGGTGTTCTACAAAGTATCCAGGGAGGTGACATGATGAGGATGGGGTGGGGGTGGAGGTGGTGGCAGTTTCTGGAGTGAGAATCCAGGTGGGCTGAGGGAGTGGGGTGTCTGAGAGGGTGGAACAGCCTTCAGACTTATCAGGAAGCCCTCACCCCCACACCAGCTCTTGCCCCTCTCTCTGCAGAGGTCTTGGTCTCTGAAGATGACCCCTGCCACTGGCTTGACAGGGATAGGGACAAGATGGCTGAGGCTGAGCAGTGTGCCCTATCCCAATAACTCCCTGCTGTGGTCCACACATCCTAGACTCACCCAAAAGATCTACAGCAAATCCCACATTGTTTTAGGACAAGCATACACCCAAATGCAACCATCTGGAACCTTCCTAACTGCTACTCAACAGCCTCAGCATCTAGGAGGCCTCCTGCTCCTGACAGGCCCTGCGCCTTCCCCCAAGTACTACATTGAGCCAATGTATGACCATGACCTTCTAAAGAGTTCCAAGGCCCATAGAAGGCCAGCTGAGCTGGACTAGCTCCTCTGGGCATCAGAGAAGATCCCGACTCTGACATTATTGGCAACGACAGGCAAGGAGCGAATGAGACCCAGGTAAGAAGTGAAGCATGGATTGAGGTCTGAGCTGTGGTGGCATGTGAGAGAGGGGCATGTGAGTCTGACTTGGACCAGGAACTAAGGGAGATGAGGACTGAGGCTGCCAAGGTCAGGACTGGCTAAAGTGGAGACTAGCCCAGAGGTTAACCATAAGACTACCTGGAGACAGGATAAGGGGGAAATTTTGCAAAGGGTCACTGGCCCAAAGTCCAGACCTGGCAGCAGTTGAGGAGAAACAAGTTGGACTTAATTAGAAACCACCTCCTATAGTGTCCTTGTCAGGTGCCCAGTTTGGAGCACAGGAGTTAGCCAGGCCTCTCAGAAGAGTACTGTACCCCAACCCACCACAGTCTGTCCTGGGAGCAGGACCTGGGAGCAGAACACTGGGATCATCCTTGACCTCCCCAGGTCAGCAGTTGGAGCATTAGTAGACTGGCCCTCTGGCCCTGGAGTCCCTGATGTTAGAATTCTGCAATGGAGGACTTGTGCAGCTGTAAGAAAGAGTTTATCTCTCACAGCCTACTTCCTGTGGCTGTAAAGGAGGAACACAGCTCTCTCCTAAAACTAAGAGGTTCCTATGACAGCACCCAGCATCCAGCATCCAGCACCCAGCATCCAGCACTCAGCATTCAATACCCAGCACTCAGCACCCAGCCAGTATCAAGCAGGTACCCACCAACACCTCTTTCCTGGAGGGATCATGAGTGAAATTGGGCAGTGTCAGAAGGGAGTCAAAAGAGGAAGTCCTCACAGGCTACCCAGAGGCCACGGTGCCTTCCATCCATGGGTGCCCTCCTTACAGGTTTAATCTTCCGGTGATTGCTCTTTTTGTATGTTCTCAGCCAGCAACTCGGCTCATTTCTGTCTAAGCAGCAGTTGGCCTTTCCCTGCTGGGCCTTCAGAGTATCACCCAGCTTCTGATAGCTTCCACTCTGAAGGCCACACAGAGTGCCAGAGCAGGACAGTCAGTCACCTGTCCGAGCAACACCCAGGCTCTGCCGAGGTTGTCCTGAGACACCTCCAGCAACAGAAAAGAGCCATGCCCTCCGTGAGCTATTTCATTCCCTGTCATTGGCACCCGCTTTCTGGGTGCCTTCGAGGAGGGTGAGAGACAAGTAAGGGCATAGCAGAGGTCCCTGCACTCACCCCCTTCAAAGCTCAGATCCCACAGGAGAAACCCAGACATGCCCAAGTAAGGGCTGGAACACCATACTTCTGGGTTGAATGGAGGATCACAAATGGGTAATGGTGAAGGTTGGGGGGGGGGCTCCTGGCTGAGGGTTACAGCAAAGGCCAACAGAGGGGAGGAGAGCCAGCAGCCCTATCCTCTCTCGCCTGGCAGGGAAACGCTGGTCCTAACTGCAGCCGCTGTTCAAAATGCTTTGCCATGTCAACTTACAATTGCTCCACCGGACAGGCCCTGTCTCCCCCACTTTCTACATGAAGAACAGAAACAAGGAGGCAGCCGGGCTTTGTGTGAGCTGGACTTTGTGTCCTGATAAAAGAGAAAACCAAGGTTCGACCCTGAATAATCAGGTGAGCCAGCAGTTACCCTCACAGATGGGAGGTTCACAGAAAAGAGAGAAAGAAAAGCAAGCAATGGCCAGGCATAGCGGCACATGGAGGCAGAGGCAGGTGGATCTCTATGAGTTCGAGGCCACTCTGGTCTATATAGTGAGTACCAGGGCATCCAGGGCTGCTACACTTAGAAACTGTCTTGAAAACACACACACACACAAGCAAGCAAGAAGTGGGGAGATAGGTATCCAGGGAATGGGGAGCTGGAATGGGATTTAGGGTATCCTGGGGCTGCCTTCCTGACCCTGTCAGAACTCTGGTGCTCAGTCACAGCCTGATCTGGGATCTGGCTCCACAGACAAGAGCTTGAGCTCCAGTCCTGGCTCCCCAAAGAAGAGCATGTGGTCATGGCAGAACCTGGTTCCTGGGGTCTGGGCTCAGGAGGAGGTGTCCTGCTGGCTCAGTGGCATCCTTAGTACAGGTGGAGCAAATATAGATGCCTGCCCTGGCCACAGCTCAGACCTAGGGGTGGAGTGGGACCTTTCTGGTGGGCCTCTCAGGGCAACTGCTAGCTTCTGACAGGTGTAGACCATCTTTCCAACCCCCCCAGGCCTCCTGTGCCTTGCCTTTCCTGAATTGCCACTTACACAGAAAGGAAGCCCCCACAGGTGATCTGTGTCATCACACAGGTTTGCCCATCTCTCCTGGCCCTTGACTCACAAGGCCCTCCAGGAATGCCAGGGGGTGGGGCTGTGAACACACAAGGCTTGGCTCATTAGCCCACCTGCCAGACTCCAGCAGCTGCCCTGAGACACTCACCAGAAATGTGGAAGAGAAGCCTTGGGCCCAGCCTGCAAAACCAAACCGCCAAAGACCAATCAAATCGCCAGGGGTGTGGCCTTAATGTCATGGCTGACAGGCTCCCGTTGGTCATACCACTGCAGTCTAATATCTATAGCAGGTGTTCTAAATGCTGGATGGACTCAGCTCGCAAGGTTAGCTACCACCAACCCCACCCACTAAAGCTTAAAGCCCTTGACACAGGGACGAGGTGACTCCATGTGTGGAGGGACCAGCTGTCCCTCCACACATGTCAGAACTCTGACATGTTCTACTTATTCTACTTATTTAATTTTATTTTCAGGACAAGGTCCCACTATGTAGCTCTGACTGTCTTAGAACACACTCTGTAGACCAGGCTGGCCTTGAACTCACAGAGATCCACCTGCCTCTGCCTCCTCAGTGCTAGAATCAGAGGCATGCAACACTGCACCTGGTTTCCCATTTCCTCTTTTGCTAAATCTAGAAAGTCAGGATTGTTCAATCCCCACCAGGATTTTCTTCTTCTTTCTTCTTCTTTCTTCTTCTTTCTTCTTCTTTCTTCTTCTTTCTTCTTCTTTCTTCTTCTTTCTTCTTCTTCTTTTTAATATATTTATTTCTTTATGCATATGAGAGCTTTAGCTGCATGTACATGTGCATGGCGGAACACAGCACCAGATCCCATTATAGACGGCTGTGAGCCACCATATGGTTGCTGGGACTTGAACTCAGGACCTCTGGGAGAGCAGCTAACATTCCTAACCACTGAGCCATCTCTCCAGTCCCCCACCCCAAGGATTTTCAATGTAAGCTGTTCTCTCTCTCTCTCTCTCTCTCTCTCTCTCTCCTCCACTCCCCACAACTACCACTGGCTCCGGTTCAAATCTTAGTTCAGCCACCTGAAGATTTCTGTGGCCCAGTTCTCTCATCTGCGATGTGGAAAGAGCAGAGGCCACGCCCCTAGGCAGCTGTGAGCTGAAGAGTGTGTGGAAGGTTGTCACTGCGGGGGGGGGGGGGGGGGGGGCAGGTTACAGCTTCAGGAAATCACCAGGACCACAGGCTTGGAGCCATCCCGGGCCTCTTATCCATCTTAGCCCCTGTTCTACCCTCCAGATCCAGCTTAATCCTTAGTGTTTCTCAATCCAGGATGCATCTGCCAAGTGATAGGGATTTAGGGGGAATACCTTGAGTTGAAACTTAAGCAAGCAACAAGATGGCTGGGAATGGTTTCACAAGCTGCCAAGTGTCACTAACACACCCAACTGCTAGGGCAGGAGCTGAGGGCAAGACCTCACCAAGCTCTACCCCTTTGGAAGATAGGGGTCCTAGGAGTGCCGCCCCTCTCGGTACTGCTACCCAGAGAACAGGCTCTGCCTGGTGCCCACTGCGCATGCGGCTGGTGGGGAGGGTGTGGTGCTTGTGGCCGCTGCCCTGGGCTTGGGGATCAGCAGGGTGGGGCAGTCCTCCAGGTCTTGGAATGAGTACAGGGACTTCCTCGAATGGAGCAACTGAAAAACGTTGCTGGGGAAGGGGCGAAGCAGTGTCAGGCCCGGGGTCCAGCTCAGCCAGGCCCGGCTCTGGATTCCTGGGTGCTGAGGGAGAGGGATGTCTCAGAGTCGGTGTCTTCGGGGCAGGGCTGTTCCTCTAGACCGTGTCAGTGACCTGTACTTCACCTCTGTGAGCCTCACACGTACCACCTGTGAAATAGACGTCGGCATAGCCTGGGAACATCTGGCTTAGCAGAGTCCCTTGGGGAGAGTCTGGCTCCAGTGTGCCGCTCGAGGCCACAAGGATTCCATGACCCCAGGAGCACCACAGGGTGGCTCGCCTTTCTTCAGCTCCAGGCCAAAGCATGAACCAACTGTGCGGAGGGCTGACGCCCCGGGTCTGTCCCCTGTCACCCAGGTCTAGCTCTTAGGGCCAGGCAGCTCCACCTTCCAGCCCTGGGCATTTCTATGCAGGCAGTCGGGCCCCACAGACCCTTCTGCCCGCAGACCGGAAAAAAACAACGGTCTCCAAAACAAATGTATGCTAACTAGCGGCTGCAGGGCAAGCCTACACATCTGCTCAACAGAAGTTCCCCTCAGACCTCACCAACAACCCTGCCCACCCCACAGCCTCCGACCCCTGGGGTTGCCAGGAGGAGGAAGGGTCTGAAATTTCACTTTAAGGGGGCTGTCCTCCTGGCCAATACACAGCATCCCCTCCAAACACAGGCCCAGGAGAGAGGTCTGGCTTTCAGAGAAGGGTGGAGAGGGGCGGGGGTCACCAAGGAAACGCCCCAGCCTTGTCTCTTCTTTGGCTCTAAGTCAAGGTAAACCAGCCCAAGCAGCTCCAGCATCCGTGGGAGTCTCGGGGGGCGGGGAGGGGGAGGGAGGCCGGCCGCTCAGTGACAAAGAGTTGGGGGGCTGCCTGTTGACAACTTACTTCCCCCGCTCTCAGCCTGTGCCAGCGGGCTGTTTTCCTGGGGCTGCTGGCTGGTGGCTTCCAGCTGGGCAAGGGCCTCGGAAAGCCTGGAAATGTGGCCTTCTCCCTTGATGCCCGCCCCCCACCCCCCACCCCCAGCCAGGCCAAGGCAAGCAGCTGCCCCCTTTGGTGACGCTTGTAAAAGATCATCGCCTGGCCCGGGAGCCGAGCCGGCTGGAGGGCAGGTGGCCGGCAGCAGAGCCCTGCGGTGAACAGTGTCTCACTAGGGTGGAATGCTTCCAAGCTCTAGCCCCTGGAAAGGCTAGCTAGCCTGGGCAGGCGCTCATGCTTGCTCTCCCTCGCCTCCGCTGCCCCTGCGGGGAGGGGGGAGGTTGTGAGGGGCGGGGGCATGACACCAGCCAGACTTAGGGGCAGAAAAGAGGAGGATTGGGGGTCTTTTAGAGAGCCAGAGGAACTCTCCACCAGCCCAGCTGGGGCACCACACTTCGGAAGTCGGGGCAGGATGCTTCGATTTGGAAAACGAAGGTCAGGGAGGCTCCCAGTGACCGAGAGAAAACCGAGAGACAACACGAAAGCAGAGACACATGCTCAGAGAAAGTGAAAATCGAGGCAAGAGGGGGACAGCGGGAGGGACAGAACTCCTGAGAGAGCATGGGAGCGGAAATGGAGCAATGAAGAGCCAGAGACCTGCGGATGGGAGTCGGGGACCAAATGGGCAGCGGCTGGGAAGGGACCAGGGTAGAGCCAGGAGACGCGCGAGCCCAGAGTCCCAGCGCTGCACGGCGCCCGCCGGGCGACGGTCTCCCTCCCACTCTCAGTCCTGGCGGTGAAACTCCTACGAGAAACGGAGCCCCGGGCGCGACTGGCGACTGGCGACCGGCTCGGAACGCGGCCGGTGCCCCCTGGCCACCCGGGAGCCGCGCCCACGTCCCCAGCTCGGGCGATCGGAGGCGCCGGGCCGGCCGCTGGGCTGCGCGGCGCGGGGGGGCGCGGGCTGGCGGAGCGCGGAGAGGAGCCGCCGGGCTCGGGGGGGGGGGGGGACGCCGCGGGGCGCGGGAGCAAGGGGACCCCGGCCGTCCCGCTCCGGCGGTGCCGGCCCGGGGGAGACTTACCGCGCGCAGCAGCAGAGGGGAGCGGAGCGCGGCGCGTCCTCCTGGGGGTCCTGGGAGGGGGGGTTGCGGGCCGCGGGGGTCGCAGGCCCGGGGTCCTTGGGCTGGAGCGGCCCCGCGAGGCTCGGCTGGGCTGCGCTGCTGGCCGTCTGCGGCCCCGGGCGGGCGCGAGGCGCGGGGGAGCGGCGGGCCGAGCGCCTCCGACGTCAGGGTGTCTCAGCTCCAAATAGGGAGCGAGGGCGGGGGCAGCGGCGGCGAGGGGAGGGACGCGAGGGGGGGGCGGGGGGGGGGCCGAGGGCCGCTCCCTCCGCGCTCGAGCAGGGGCGCCCAGGCCGCGGGCCCCGCTCCCCCGACGGCCCGGACAGAGATGAAAGGGCGCGAGCCAGGAGCGCGGCCGCTTCCCAGGGCTTTGATTCCCCTCCGCCTGGCTTTTCTTCGCTGCCTGGGCTGGCCAGGCCTCCGAGTGACAATAGTAGGAACGCGGCCTTGGCCACTTGCTGAGTGTGGCGCTCCAGCCTATTGGGGTGCCGGCACCAAGACCCCATCCGAAGCTGTGCCCAGTCTTCCCTAGGGAGGTTGGTTTCCGATCTGTGCTGTGTCCTTGCCGTTTGACCTGCAGTTGCCTCCAAATAACTTAGCTGGAGCATCCAGAGAAAGCTCTCAGAGGCCAAAACCATCTCACGCTGGCTCCTTGACGAGGGGAAAGGCTAGCTACTTAAATCCACCAAGGTGGATTGCGCTGGTGTAGCCTGTTCCCACGGAATAAGAAGAGAGCTCTGGGGCTGTGGATCAGTTGGCAAAGCCCTTAGCTACCATGCAGGAAAACCCGGCTTCTATCCCCAGAACCCCATCAACTGGGCCCAGCAGTGTCCACGCAAGGCCCAGGGTCAACTAAACAGCAAGTTCCAGGCCACCGTACAAAGAAGAGGAAGAAAGTAGTGCCCTTTTTGTGTTCCTTGGAGGTGGTAGCCCAGGGCACCGTCAAACAGAATGATGAGACTTGGGAATCTACTTGTATCAGTTATATATGAGCGTGAATTTAAGCCATTCGGCTGCACTCAGCCCTGCTCATCTGCTGTCTCTACGTTGCCAAGCATTGTGAGTTGGGGGTGGGGGAGGGGGCAAGGAGCCCTCCTAGTGGCCTAATGGTGACCCCCTGGCCGTTCCAGGCCATCTGCTCTTGAAACCAACAGCTGTTGTGCTTGCTTCAGCCTAGCGTTTTCTTCCCTCCTTCCCTCCATTCATCTCCCGTTCAATGCATCCTTCACCTACCAGGTGGAAAGCCTTACCAGGATCCTCTTCCTCCTCCAGGTGTAACCTTGCAGCCTGGGATACATCTCTTCATGATGCTCCCTCTTTATGATATCCTCCATCAGCCCCTTGAGGGCAGAGCGCTTCATTCTCTTTCAGTTCTCCCCCATTTAATACATGCTGAGCGCCCAGAGACATCTTAAGTAGCTCATCAAAACTTTACACAGACAGAGGCTAAGGATTGGAGGACCGTGCGCTGCAGAAACAAGCCTTGCTGCATTGTACCATATAAAGGCCATTTTACAGCCAGAGCTTGCCAGCTGTCTCAGTGCAAACCTTGGGCAGGCTGGGAGTGGAAGTGTACATTCGGTAAGTTCCATAAGAGCCCATTCTCACCAGACATGTAATCCCTACATTTGGAAGGCAGAGACTGAAGGGTCAGGAGTTTAAGACCCTGTCTCAAAGGCTGGTGAGATGGCTCAGTGGGTAAGGGCCTGTCAGCCGTGTCCAGTAACCTGGTTTCAGTCCCCAAGACCCATTATGATAGGAGAGAACTGACTCCTGCCAGGTGTCCCTTGACCTCCACATGTGCACTGTGGCACAGGTGTGCGAACAAACACACACGCTCACACACAGAAAAATAAGCAAACAAATAAATGTAACTTTAAAACCAAGCAAACAGAAGAGAACCCATCCTCACACTGCAGGGGGCTAACTGCAGGCCGTAATGTGCTCGGCAGATCACACATACAGCCAGCAGAGAAGGCTGGACTCCCAGCCAGTGCCCTTGGCGGCCCAGCCCAACACTACTGTCAAACAGGAAAGTTCCAGAACAGGTCCAGATACCTAATCAAGGACATGGGGTTTGAAGTTGAGTTACATCTGTCTAGTGAAGAGCTGTGATGACAGGAAGTTACAATGTAGGCAGGGAACCTGCCTCAAAAGGGACTTAATATCTTTTAGCAGCTACCATTTTATACCCAGCTAAGCAGTCTGTTGTTGTATCTTATCTATTCCTTACCACAATCCCACCCGTACTAGTGAGAACAAAAGCCTCATTACCCCTCCCCCCAGATCACATTGATAGTGCCTGACAAAGGCTAGATGTGAATGCACAGCCCACAGGTCCTGTGCTCCGCACACACTCTTGGCTGCCTCACAGCCCCTCCCATTGGATGCTGCACCCCTGGGATCCAGGATAATGGGGCCCCAGCAGGAAAGGCAGAACCTGTCAAGTCAAGAGTCTCTGAGCTCCAGGAGATACACCTGGTTGGCAGCACAGCTCCAGCTGCCCAGGCAGGCCTGGCTGGCACAGGGCATGGGCTCATGGCCAGAGCCTGCTGGCCCTGGGCCAGTCTCTTGGGGCCAAGGTAATGTGGGGCCCAGAGCTGAATGCCCCTCTCCCCAGCTCATTAGCAAACATCTGGGCTCAGGAAAAAGGCTGACCTGGAATGTGACTGGGCTGCAAGCAGCTGCCCCCTCCAGAGTCCCTGGGGAATATGAGCTCCCTCCTGCAGGGCATGGGGCTTGAGCCAGCTGTTTCCTCTAATCCTGTCAGCCTGGCCTCCTTGGGGGTCCAAACTTAGGGCCGTCTCATGGAGAAAGGGTGAAAGCAGCCAGAAGCCTTCCTTCTCGCTCAGACCCCTGTCAGCGCTGTTAAGAACTGATGAGAACAGTCGGGGTCTCCCTACATGCTCTTCATCATTCATGGACCCTGTGGCTCTGTGCAAACTATTCCATGCTTGTGCCTTGGTTTCTCAATCTGTCAAATGCAGTTAGGAAAAACATATAGTCCCGGCGTGTGCTAGCATTCATTCATCTATTTAACAAATATTTATCGTGTATCCTGTGTGCCAGGCCACCATGAGATGTTGGAGGTCCAACAATGGACTAGTTCAATAAAGACCCAACCTTCCAGAAACCTAAGAACAGAGCAGAAGATACCATAGAAAGTCAATTGGCCGGAGGATTTTATGCTTGTATGTGAACTAAGCTGGGTGAGGTGAGGTGCTGGGGGAGGGAGAGTTGAGAGGCTTCCAGAAAACAAGGCAAAGAGGTGATGTTTAAGGTGAGATTCTGAGAAGGAGCCAGGATTGAAAGAGATAAATGGATGCAAAGTGCTGGGCACAGTTCCTGGAAAATAGCACGTGCTCCATAAAGCGAAAGCTATTTTAGGGAGGTTCGTATACACAGTGCAGCAAAGGCACTGGAGTCAGATTCTCTGGACGGGGTCCAGGTGCTAGCACAAAGCTTCCCTCCCTTGCTCCAGGGATGGGCTTGCTGAGCCTCAGTTTCCTCATCTGGCAGTTAGGAACATCAGGGAGTTCCTGCAGCTGAGAGACACAGGCAGTTGAAGGCTGCTGCGGGAGGGAGTCATGGTCCTCAGTGGTATAGACACTGGTAGGTTGTCCTTGCCCCAGTAAATAGCCCAAGCTGTGTCCCTGTAAGCATCCCTACTTCAGCTCAGTGGGTGAGAGCTAGAGGGGTAGCTCAGTGGTTATGGGCATGTACTGCTTGCTCTTCCTGAGGACCCAAGTTGGATTCCACATCAGAGCTTGATTCCCAGTACCCACATCAAGAGACTCACAACCGCCTGTAACTTCAACTCCAGGGGGGGTTCAATGTCCAAACCTTCTGGCACACACACACACACACACACACACACACACACACACGTAGCTCTCTCCTTCCATGATACAGGTTCTGGGGAGACAGAACTCAGGTTGTCAGACCTGGTGGCAAAGCTCCTGCTGAGCCATCTCTCCAGCCCACAGTCTCAGGGTTAGGAGACCAAGAAGTAAGACAAGGACTCCCCCACCAAGAGGGACAGGGGGAATGGAAAGAAGAGGGCTAGAGAACCGAAATTGATGGATTCTGAGATGGAAATATAAACCCCACAACTGTCCATCTTCTGCCTCCCTGAAGCAGCAGAAATCCTTTCCTCACCTGCAGAAATCAGTTGTATGCGCCTGACAGGGGGCAAAGAAGGTGAGCTGTGTCCCATGTTCCTCTTATGGCCCCACCCCACCCTGAAATGAACAGCACTGAATTGTGTGTCACTCAGACTGGAAATGACACAGACTAGTTCTGGGTTCACTCTCCACATTTTCCCTTAGTTTCTTCCATTTTCCAGCTCCCAGTGGCCCACAGTACCCAGAATGAGTGGGAGAAGATTTTTTCTTCTCAGAGTCAGCCTAATATCCCACAGAGCAGGGTTTTCCTCGACGTTTTTGTGCTCTAGGTGAATCCATTAGGGGGAAAAATAATAAACCCCCATCCTGCCCGGTGGAATATAGCTCAGTGGTAAGACACCTGCCTAGAACGCTTGACACTCCAGGCCTGGTCCCAGTGTGGCAGAAACAAACAAAACCTTTGTGGACATGATGTACATGCTTTACCTTCTGTGACTATCTTCCAGCCCTCATGGGGAGGGGGCCTCTCAATAGACAAAGGAAAGATCTACTACAACCATTTCTATGGTCAACAAAGTAAGTCTTCTCAGCAAGGTAAGCAGAACCCAGTTTTCTCTGTAACAAAGGGAGGGGTAGGCTAAGTCCAGAGGGCAGCAAGTCTTCTCAGGCACAGCCTACTATCTGAGGACAACACGGACCCACAATCTATATGCGATTCTCTGGATGGTGATATATGTGATCCTGTTATTAGCTCACTAGCCATTTAACTTTCTTCTTAGTATTGAGTTCCAGGATAGCTAAGACTATAGATTTATGAGACCCTGTTTCAGAAAAAAAAAAAAAAAAAAAAAAAAAGGTGAGAGGAAAGGAAAGGGTTGGAGGAGCTTGTCTCACAGAATGAAGAATAATGGGTTTAGAAAGTCATATACAGATGCTAAAGCTGATGGTGGTTTAAGAGACAGGATATTTGGGGTTTCAAAGGTGTCACCGCAGGGGCCGGGGAGATGGCTCAGTGAGTAAAAAGCCAGCCATGCAAACAATG